CGCCCCGCCCCGCCCCCGCCACTGGCCAAAGGCCAACGGGCAAACGAACTCAACAGCAACACATGCTTCCGAAGTTAAAGAGGAATATCCAGCTCTTGCGGCCTACGTCCAAGACAACAGGGCTTCCTTCACATCACCTAAATCTTAAGTCCATCAAACCAGCACTTCCGCCTGCTCTTGTCGGGCTTTTGTTGTCACTTCTTAAATGTGTTTCAGAGTACGGTAGCACGAACATTACAAGAATGAAACAAGTATTAAAATATTCGACGCTTCCTCTCTCTGACGGGCGTAATCTGTCGTCTTACTTACAACTCATCGTACCTCGCACAAGTATTTACACAACAGCGTTCTGGTTTGAATGCGTGGAATAGAGAAGAGAGAACTAGAGACTGTAATATTGCCGGAAAGTATTCGAAGGAGGGTAGCGCATGATATCCACAGGAAACGTTGGGTAAGGTAAATCAGAGAAAAACTTGTGCAGTTTCCAATAGGAAAGGTTTAATACTAAACAACAAAACAACTTGCGATTAATGTGAAACATGCCTTACAGAAGGCAAATTGCAAGTGCATTGTAAATGGCAGAAATTACATAGAGGAAGTCCAACTCGTTTTGAAGAGGGACTCTGGCGCCGCGAGGCCGCAGGAAGGCAGGCGCTCCGCTCCGCTCTCGCTCTCGTTGGAGCGACTCTCACTTTCGCTGGACGCCATCTGGCCCAGGGGGACCGCGCGGCCCGCGCCCACGGGGCGCCTCCCGTCAATGAAGGCGTCGGGAAGGAGCGACGCCTTGCCACGGTGGCAGCGGCATTTTCCGACTATCTACTCCTTACTCGGCCTAAAGCTGAACGCGAACATATTGAAATGGGTGTGCGATGAGTTGACGAAACGGACAACACGAAAGTTAGAAACATATCACACGGAGAAAGATCTAACATTAATATTTTTAGTCGGGTTGTTTTCTTTACCAAACCTTCATGCTAATCACAAGACTAATGCCAGTAAATCAGTGACGTTTGCGGTGTCAAAAGCAACCGGTCTTTAGCTGAAAGGGAGGGGCACCGAAGTTTACGGCTCCGATGGCAACGTTTGCAAACGCCGGACATGGTTTTATTAAAAAAAAAGGGTAGGAAACATACTGCTATGTAAACTCCTATATGCTTGTTTTAACTATTTGTGCGGGTAACATTTTTACCGCGGGCAGTCTCCAAAACATTTTATGCGTTGTGTGTTTTATTTAGCACCATTAACAACTATGAATTGAAAGACCTTGCACGTGTTTCAACAGTGCAACAGTGTCTGGTATAGAAACAGTTGTATAAAAGAAACCTAGAAATTTGAAATTGAGGGCTTGAAAGAGCTAACACACTAGGAATCGAGCATGAAATTTTCTCAAGTACACCTCTATCAGATTAAAGATAAATTACAGTGTCAGGGAAACTGAATTGCAGAGGTCGTAGATAGTTTGCGTAAAAAGAGAAAACTTAATCCATAAACAGATTTGGTTCTCAAACATCTCGGATTGGGAAATCAAATATGTTTTTACCAAAAAATATATAATCCGGATCTCACTTGCCACTGTCAGTTGCAAACAAGTGTACTTTAAATGCGAGTACAATATGACATGATTTTACGTTTATTAAGAAATCAAATACGCATAACTAACAGAGTTTTCGTTAACTTATACGAGCACATTAATCTAAAGGCACTGCCACTCCACGGACGTGTGATAAAACATCCTGTTGGTAGCATTCTCGCACATTTGGGTGAAATCTCTCCGCCCCCATTATAGCGAAGTTGACGCGAAAGGATGTTATAGCGCCGCCGCGGCGTTCTGAGCCCCCAGCGCGTGGGCGCGGCGCTGGAGCCCAGCTTCCTCCCGCACGGCAGCGCGCGTCTTGGTCGTTTCTCGTCACCATCTCATCACTAGGACGTCTCCTCTCTCGGAGGAGACGGAAGAGCTCAACACGTGTGACAGCCAAATATGGATTTTTTCTCCCGCTTTCAAAATATACAGCCTTATTACTTCGCGAAACAAGGATTTGACACAATTTTGCAGAATGCCCTATTTGCCATGCACTTTGTCGACGTGTCTATATAGAATTATTGGAGGAAAGATGGAGCGCCCATTTCACTCTGTGCGTGCTTTTCTCTACACTGAGTGGCAGTCGTTTCTGAGTCTTTAACGAGACAAATGCTGCGTCTACAGGTGGTCCGGCCACGGCGAACACCTGTTTGTGTCGTCCGTCAGGGCCCAACGACGTCTCGCGCAGGGCTGCTACGGCGGGGCTGGAGGCGTGGCGGGGACGGGCCGAGGGCGGGGCGCGGAGGGCGATCGCGGGCCTCGGGCGCCGGCGCGCGTTCGGAGCACGGCCCCGCGCCACGCGCGCCGCTGTGGCGGAGCCGCGAGCGACGAGGTGAGGTGCGGTGCGGGGCGGGCGCGCGCGGATGTCGCAAGCAGCCGTGTCGTTTTCTGCAATGGAGCAACGGCGCCTAACGCAACCGCCTGCCGCCGCCGGCCGGCCGGGCCGGGCTGCCTGCCTGCCTTTCCCCGCGCTGTGAGGCAAGCCCTCATCGCCCTCGCCGCCCCGCGCCCGCCGCCGTGCCAACCTCGCCCGCCTGCCTCGCCTCGCCTCGCTTTGCCTCCGCCTGAAGCCGGAGCCCCGACCGGAGAGAAGGAGCCGCGCGCAGCGCCGTGCTGGGTACTCACCGGTGTCAAAGAATGTGCTGAACGACGGGGCGACTCGCGTATCCCATGGAACGGATGCAGGGCTGAAACGCGGCACTCACAGTCCTCGAGACGTTTCGCAACAATTCTCGAAGACGCACACGAAAACACTGTAAGGTCGCGGGACAGCCATGGCGCCGGCGCCGAGCTGGACCCGAGAACGACGCTCGCACCCGAAGAGCAGAAGAACAAGAGGAGGAACAGAGGTGTTTCAGCAGGCGAGGCAGAAGAAGGCACTGGAGGAGCCGGCCGGCGCTCCCGGCGTGGCGTTCGCTCGTCGTCAAGAGCCTACAAACTCCATGGGGACACGTCGGGGCGCCACACGGAACACACTGGCGCATGCACGCACTGTCGCACTGGCCGTGGTGGCTGCGTCGGAGCACTGCACTGGTCCGCTGGCTGGGCGCTTGCTTTGCGCTTTGTGGTCGGAGGCGGTCGCGCGCGGCCCCGCGCTGGGCCTCGTAGCCGGACGACGCTCGGACAGCGACTGAGGCGGGCGCCGTCGCCGCCGGCCGCGCCCCGCCCCGCCCCGCTCCGCTTCCCGGCGTTCCGCGCCCCCGCGTCCCCCCGCTCCTCCCGCCGGCCGCACTCGCAGCGCACACTTTCGCTGCCGCCACCGCTCGCTCACTCGCTCGTTCGTTCGCTCGTCCGTCGCCGCCAGGTCCTTAGTCGCGCGCACCCCGCACTCGCTGTCGTCGTCGTCGTCGTTGCCGCCGTCTTGGCGTCGCTGTTCCGTTTTCCTGCTTTTTGTGCGCCCGAGACGTCCGCCGCCGCTTGCCAGCGCCGCTTCTCGCGAGCGCCAAGGTCGGCGCTGCTCCGCCTGCTCTGCGCTGCGCCTCTTTCGCCGTCCCCCCCTCTTCGCCCTCTCCCACTTCCGCGCCCAGCCGCTCCCGCGCCGGCGCCGCGCCGCGCCGGCTGCGGCGGATGGAGGGAAACCGGCTTTCCTGGCTTTTCCTGCCCCAGCAGCGCCTGCCTCCGCCTCCGCCGCCGCGCGCCCTGGCTTTTCCGAGAGCCCCGAGGCGCGGGGCTGGATCTGTGCACGAGATGCTTCCCGTCCCGTCTTCCCTGGCAGCGCGTCCTCCTCCGCCCGCACAGCTTTTGCTTTCACTCGCTCGGATGCGGAAAATGGGCGCGGGCAGGGGCGGGGGCGGGGCGGAGGCGTTGGCGGCGGGAGTGGAGGAGAGGGGAAGGCAGGAGAGGGGCCGCCGCCGGGCGGACGGGCACTTTCACAATATACCAAGGCGAAATAGGGGAAATGCGGAGGAGATAGGGAGCGACACAGCGCTCGCCGTTCGCTACTCGCCGCGCCGAAAACGTCGGCCCCCACGACTCCTTTCGCAGGGCACAGTTCCATTGAGTTCAATCATTGTTGCTTTTTCTTCCTGACAACCATTGAGGATATTATCTCCGTTATTATGTTATAACATTGTGTGTGTGTGTGTGTGTGTGTGTGTGCGCGCGCGCACGCCCGCGAGCACGTGTGTGCACGGGCAAAGCGTGTTTGATGTTAGATTTCCTATTATTTATGATCTTGAAATCCCTAGTTTTCGATTATATCATGAGAACGATATCAAATTGCTTCAAGTATATTATGAAAACGATATCAGATTTAAGACATATAGTGACGTAGCCCTAAAACAAATGTGAATGGAATGAAATATGGAAAAAGCGAAGAAGCTGAAAAATAAGTTCCGCCACCAAGCAGGAGCCTTTATCCTGAAAAGCCAGATTTAGTCTCTACCCCCTCAAAGACACACAAGTAATTAATGGCCTTAATTATCCCAATCCCATCTCAATGAAAACCACTGCACTGAGTATGTGGAAGTTGTTTTTTAATGTCGGAGACGCACATGCTGTGGTGTTGCGAATGACTAAGGACGAACTCTTGATCAACGGTCACCCCTAACATGATACACATTCTAATGCCCCTGCAGCACATGCTACGGGGAAAGAAAGGAGAATCTGCCTCTGTGCCAGAAAAGTGACGCGCAGTACTTCTCTTGAAAGGAATTCTGGGATGTACTCTTTTAGTTCCATCTTCTCTGAGGAAGTCTATGATACAAGGGAATCTTCAGACATTTGCACAATCTGCTCCTTGAGCTACACTTGAGACACCTCAGTTATACTTCAAATACTTGAGATAAAGTTATCTCTCACTCATATGTTACTTTGTTGCAGAACTGTCAAGACGTTTTATTCGTGTTCGATAAATAAGAAGAAGGATTTAAATTGCATTAAATAACTGTAGCATCTTCGCCAGATGTTCCATTTTCAATTTCAGAGACTATAAACTCTACACAACTTCCTTTTTATGGCCAATTGTTATATAAATCCAGGGGAGACCGCATTAATGTGAATGTATTGTTACGAAATTTTTGTTTTATTGGATGGATTGTGGCCATATGACGTTAAATTATTCTTTGTCATGACGGATTCGTCAATGCTTTATAGGAAAGGCCTCCAGAGTTTACATGAAACGTCTTCTTCGTGATACAGAGTTTTAGATATATATAAAGACTAACATATTTTAGTAATTTGTCACGCATCAAATACTTTACATATGGAACTTACGTTACAGATAATAAAAATCTTAGGATCTAAACGTGCGTATGCTTGCGATATAACGCGACCATTTCTGACGTGATCGATCAATATACGAGCTACGCCTCTGTGAACGCCATGCACAAGATGTTTTGCGGACAGCAGCGCTATGTATAAGCACGTGAGCTAGTAATTGTTTCTTCTACTTTCACTTTTGCCAAAGAAAGGCATGTAGGTAGTACGGTTGCAGATACTTAAGGCATATTGACATGACATGTCTTGTTACATGTAAAGCTTCATTTCGGCTTTATCATATGACCAACCCCCATTATGGCCAATTTTAAAGACGTTTCACGTGTACAACTTAAGATTAAAATAATCCTTCATACATAGTAAATTTGTTAACAATAGTTTCTACAACTTTCAATGCCACGTATTAATAGGATTTTGTCACTAAGAAAATATTTCAAGAATGATGAACTAAAAAAACGATTGTAAATTAACAGAAAATAAAACGTAGACAAATATGAATTGTATACGCTTTCGGTTGTACATTGTAGTACTTTCATTTCGTGTAGCATCTTGCAGATATGTGATCTTCCGCCTTCGAAGGTGAGCCACAAGCGCGTACAAATGACGCGACGAGGCGGTGCCGCTCTCGACAGGGAGCAATGTCTCGTCGGCGCGCGGAGCGTCTTGCGGGAGTGCCGCCCCCGCCCCCGCCCTGCCCCGCGTCGCGTGCCTCGAGGGTGGTCTCTCCGGTGCCTCCTCCCCCGCGCGTCCTCTCAATCATGAATATATCCTCCGCGCGCCTGCGCCCTCGCCCTCGCCCTCGCTCTGGCCGTCGCCCCCGGCCCCAGTGCATGATGCACAGCCACACGCGCCCGGCCGCACGGAAGCCCCTGGCGGGCGGACAGACACTCGCTTTTCTCCAGAGGACACCCAAACGCCACGTTGCAACGGAGGGAAAAGCCATTTTCTCCTAGATTTACATGCTTTCTTTTCTCGAACGATTTCCGAGTTTATGCGAACGCGCGCATGCACTGTGTTGGAATCGTTCGCGAAAAGGAAGCATGTAAATTGGGTCGAAACGCTGTTAGAATATCTTTGCATAGAAATTACGGATACAAGCAATGAATGCATTCACTCCACCGGAAGGGATTACGTGTCATATCCTTCATGACAGGCAATATCCAATGGACGATTTTTTTCTAAATGTTCCCATTGTCACAGGAATTTTTATGTGTTAAGATTTCATAGACGTATTTTAACAGTAGGAGCCGTCGGGTCGCGACAACTTCACAGATATTCCAAAACGAAGGGAAGAAAGCACCTTGTTTCCACTGTGAATTTGTGGAGGTGAAAGGAAATCCTTTGATATCCTGGAGAGATGTAGGCAGGGACTAGTTGCTGGTGCACAAAACTGAGTATGAGCGACGTCTGCGTAAGGGGAAGAGGTTTCCTAAATAGCCGTTGCACGAGCGAGTGTTGGCACTCGTGTACAAAGGGAAGAAGGAATGGATAAGTAGATGTAGTACTGACATTGCACAAGATTTCCCCTTGACGATAAATAAGGTATTTTCACATTTCCTGTATATCGGCCCTCATATGCGTTTTTGATACCGATTTCCAGTTGTGATATGCCGAATCATGTACTACTCCTTAATTTTGTGTGGTATATTTGCATTTGCTTTAGAGGAGGAGAGGCCTGCTGTGCTGCTCGCCCCTCATCACTCCCCTCCCCCAGAGCGCACCCCACCGTTTGTAATGAGCGCCTCCGGCCACGCCTACGTGGCAAAGGGCATCTCCTCCTGTTGGCTCTCGCCACTCGGAGAGCAACGGGAGGGATTTCTTGGGGTTTGAGAGGCAGGCACGAGAAAACAAGGTTCGTCAAAGGCAGATTTTCGTTGGCAATGCTTCTCCGGCTCAGCAACAATTTTGTTTTCTCATTAAATTTCCTTGCGTTATTTTCAGTGTGTTGATGTTCGGAAGGAATGTGAAAACGAGGTATTGGAGAGAAACGATGTAACAGACATCGAGGTTTGATCTCCTTGTGGGTGAAGTTGTCGGAGAAGGGCGGAGGTGCATCTCTGGATCTGGAGATCTAATTGCAGACGTCGTTTGCGGTACGACGCCGGGAAGTGAGTCCGGCAGAGCAAATGTTGTGGCTCACTGCCTTTCATTTATGCCTGACGCCCTTTTCGCGTACCGGACACGAATTATTCATGGCAGATCTTTTGTATCGCCCTCCTCCAAACATTTTACGAAAAAAGTAACTATATTTACCACATTTGTATACAGTAAAGTATCTCGTTTGTATGAAGTAAATCGTTATTTTTTATAGTTTTGTGTAATTTCAATTGAAAATTTAATGTATTAGATGCAGCAAAAATGTAATCATGCTTATAAAATTATATTGCCTAAAAATTACACTTCAATACCATTTTTAATCTTTATTATATACATTGTAATGACATATCTGCTGAGATAAAATTCTAAAATTCGATTTTAACCTCGATGTTTTTACAATGCAATCCAATTGAAATAACTAAAAGAGATATATTTCACGTTATGTACGATATCTTACTTTCATTGTGTAATGTATTTTTAACACTTTAATATTATTTATAATAAAAAAAACACTATATTCCTAAATGGGACCCAAAGAGACTATTTCATACGAAGAACAGTATTGGATTTAAGACATAATTTTAGCATTTGACTTAAATAGAAATGTTTTTCAATGTCTATAATTTTATTATATTGCTTTTGAATGGTGCTGAAATGAAATTTTAATTTAATTGTATTCTATTTACTGCATCGAACAAAAAAGAA